CTCTCTCTCTCTCTCTCTCTCTCTCTCTCTCTCTCTCTCTCTCTCTCTCTCTCTCTCTCTCTCTCTCTCTTGTACACACATATGGACACTATTATGGCCATTCTTGTCAGTCGTTTGGACTGAGTAAAGTTGACCACTTCATCATGGGTTCCGCTAATCCTGAGCGACATGGTGACTTCTTTCAAATGCATCCGGAGTGCTGTTGGAGTTCAATCTACTGATGAGTAGGTGAAGATCTGAAAAAACGGTCTGGCACACTCCTACATTGTGTATAGCGAACAAGACAACACAGACACACAAACAAAAGCATGCCAAGTGTTTGGCTCATTTCCATTTCTGAGATGCTTTTATGTGATGAGCCTGTTGAAGGTCACATCATCATCATGCATAAACTCACAATGCTCAGAACGAATTACAACTCAGTGTGACATACAATAATGTCACAAGGCAAGACAATAATAAGAAGAAGAGGGAGAATAAGCTATGTTGGGCCGTCGCCCGGCCTGGCACGCCCGGGCCAGTTGGGCAGAGGGGGGGTCGCCCGGCAAAACCAGACTGGTAAAAAAAGAGGCAAGGATCCCCCCCCAAAAAAAAAGACTTCAGGCCAGGACTGCGCTTGGCCTAAGCAGTCAGAATCCGGTCTTAACTTCGATTTTGGTGATGGGTCATCAAGGAAGGGTTGGGGGTTATAAAGTTATAAACAGTGACGGGCTTAAAAGTTAAAAGGGTACATTTGGACTCGTGTTTTCTCATTTATTTTTATCTTGAAATTAACAAGGAATTTCGAGGTGGCCCTCAGCCAAAAGTCGTTTGTATTGCAATTTTACACAACATTTTGTTTTTCGGAATTTTTTGATTTTTTTAATTAAATTTATTTTCTATTTTTTAAAATATTATGCACTGGCCCGGGACCCTGCCCAGGCCCTGCCCGATCCCGACCGCCCGGGAGGGTACCCGGGCGACCTTCCCCCAGCCGGGCCGCCGGGGACTAACACAGAGAATAAGAGAGTAACTCCAGAATGTATCAATAAATACAGTGTTCAAGTTTCTTCTTCCCTCGTCCACGTCAAGTCTTCTTCTTCCCCAATTGCCATCTCAAAATGTCGGCACCCTTTCTTCTACTGATCCCACACCACCTGTTGTTGCACTGTAAGTAGAACACTGTAAGTAGATTTCTCTCTGGCACAGGCCTACCCAGGCCAGCACAACTGATATCAACACTGGACATGGCAATGCCAACCTTCTGAAGCAGTGTGTTGTCTCCAACCCCGATTGTGATGTCGCCACCAGATACGTTATCAGGCAAGCTTCTATCCCCCCAGGCTATGGCTTCTCCATCATATACTTTTCTGTCTTTTCTCTCCTGTCAGTAATGGTGCAGCGGATTTACTCCTACCTATCTAGCTGGGGATGCCATTCTCTCTCTCTCTCTCTCTCTCTCTCTCTCTCTCTCTCTCTCTCTCTCTCTCTCTCTCTCTCTCTCTCTCTCTC